CTCCCAATCAGCTACTGCGCACCGCTCCCCAGGACATTGCGCCCCACTTCACGTGAGAGTCATGGCTGTCGCTCCGGGACACCTCAAAGTCTTCGACCCCACACACCCCGAGTTTTGGGAATCATGGGTGGACCAGCTCACCAGCTACTTCACCTACCATGAGGTCACGGACGCAGTAAAGAAACGGGCCCTACTGCTCAGCACATGTGGGGTGGCCACCATTCACCTGGCCAAGGGCCTCCTGGTTCCCAAGAAGCTGACCGAGAACACTTACGATGATATCATTGCGCCCCTCACGAAGTACTATGCGCCGAAGCCCACCAAGATGGCCAAGCGCATGGACTTCCAGGCGCGCCTCCAGCGGCCCGGTGAAACGCCCCCCCAACATGATGTAGGCATGTCACATTTATTTCCTGCTTCTTCCTTCCCTGCTTTTGGTAAGTCACATTTATTTCTGGTTGGGGGGGGTGACATTCCTTTCCCCTGTGCTTCCTGATAGCCCTGAAGTGGAGGGAGGCGCTCCAAACCAGGAGATTCCCTTGCCCCCAACTGGGGCCTGGCAACCCTAGTCACCATGGCTAGTAGCCATTGCGAGACCTGGCTAATGAGTGCTCCTGTACTAAAAATAAAATTGAGGATGCTCAGTGAGTGAGTGAGTGAGTGAGTGAATGAATGAATGAATGAATGACATTTCCCAGGTTCAGCCAGTTTAAGGATCTGAGTTGGGCTATTGATTATGGATACTTATGCTTTGTTCAGACAAGAACTCCATTTCAAATGTCTGCGATTCCTAACCCTATTACGTTACTTAATAGATATCTAGTTCTATTGATTGCATTGATTTACATCATGTAATCTGCCTTGAGTCTCAGTGAGAAAGGCAGACGATAAAAGACATTCATAAATACATACATACATTAGCTGTATCCTCTAAAAGTTGTGCTCAAGAGACTTGAAGTGATAGTAATAAAAGCAAAAGAAGAATACGATTACAAGTCACAGTCATCTCATGGAGGCCCCAACTATACAGTGCTCAAGGCAAGAGATGAGCAGAGGCAGTTTGCCGTTGCCTTCCTCTGCATAGCAGCCTCTGTCTTCCTTGATGGTCACCCATGAAAGTACTGACCATGACTGACCCTGCTTAGGTCCCAAGCCTCAACAAGCTTGAGCCAAACCGAGCTATTCCACAGAACAAAATAGCAAGATAAAAGTCGCAGTAAAACCAGTTCAGTAAAAAAAAATTAATAAAGTCTTACCAAGCACTAAAATGAGGCCAGCACAGATATTACAAACAGTATTTCCCCAATACCCAAAGTGCCTAGACCAGGTGCCAGCCAGGTAAAGTGCTGCAGGACGAGTATTTCACAGCTGAGGTGCCACCACTGAAAAATCCTGGCTCTGGTTGTGACACACCTCACTTCACAAGGTGGGGAGGGGGGCACTGAACTGCTCTTCAGACAGCCTGTGCTGGCCAGAAACAGGGCCAAAAGGAGGGAGGAGAGAAGAACCCCTTTTTCAGAACTCTGTCCTTTCTCTAAGGACTCTTGAAAGGCTGCCAGAGAAGTCTTAGACTCGAGCATTCCTTGAGCTCTTCCCGTTGAAGCAACAAGTGCTCTCTTTCCACATGTGATGATGTATTTTGAGACAAAAGGTTTCTTCGAGATTTTCCAAGCCTTCGGGCTCCTCCTGATCCTTTTTCAAATTACAGGGATGATAGCATACTAGGGAGAATTGCGATTAGTCTAAACTCTCCACAGCTGCGAGGGATGAATGTAAAAATTCCATTTGAGGATCCACAACTTCTGGACTCAATTTACCTATATGACACCACGACCTAAACCGGGGGGGGTGCTCGGAGCGGCTTCAGTGCTATTCAATTTCTTACCCTAGCACCAACAACGAGGGGGACTCGCAGCCACCCCACCCGACACGTCTGTCATTACAGGGCAATGATATTATGGGAGCCTTGAGATCTGGAGGAAGGGGAATGGAATGATGATATAAAAAAAGCTTCAAGCAGGGGAAAATCTAAAGAGGGGCTCGCAATTCATTACTTATAGTACCAGGGGGATTATAAAACACCTTGTAACTGAAAGGCTTTGCCTGAAGCTGTTAAGGACTGCAGGCTTTACTTCTCCTTTTTTTTCAGAGGCTGACGCACGTCAAATGATCTTGGCAAGAGAAACACGGCCATCGGCTTTCTGTCATTCTGCTTAGAAGAGATGGCGGATTGTTCAGAAGGGGCTCTTGCCGTTGTTTCCTGGGGTTACCGATCCAACACAAAATAACACAGACGACTCCCTCTCTGTCACTTTTATGAGTCAAAGTAGACAATAGTGGCCAGGTGCCAATGAAAGGCCTTTGAAGGCTATGCAATTGAGAAGCATCAAATGCGTGCTGGGATATCTAGCAGGTACCTGGAGTGGCCCAAAGAAAGGTAGATTCAGTAAACCCAGTGCAGCCCAAGAGAGGTGGAGTGTCCGTTTCTTCAACTCTTATGAAATAAAACAGGGCAGCACCGCAATTGGTGCTGGTGGGAGAGCTGAGCAGGTGGTTTACCGTGTAACCCTAAACCAAGTTACACCATTCGAAGTCTATTGACTCTAGCAGGGTTGTATAAAATTGCCCTTTCTTTCTAATAATGAGTAGTAACTTGTGCTTATTATATTTTAAAGTATGTCATCATTAAGATATGTCAAGCAGCAGAGTTGCCAGCATTGGATTTGAAAAGCGATTGCACCTAGACAAGACCAGGAAAGAACAGGTCAGGCAGCAGAGCCCAAGGGGTTTTTTTATTGCTGCGGCGGCTGCGGCTGGTGTTGGTTGGTAGATAGCAGTGAGCGGAATCTCTGCTTGGAGTACAGCAACTTGATAGCCCAGAACAGCCTGATCTCGCCAGAGCTTTGAAGCTAATGGGAGACACACACCCCAGGAAGTCCAGGGTTGCTATGCAGAGGAAGGCAAAGGCAAACCACCTTTGTTCATAGCTAGCCTTGAAAACATGCTGTGGTCGCCATGAGTCAGCTGTGACTTGATGGTGCAAACTTATTATTTATTATTAGCGATGCAAACAGAGGTGGGTGTGAAGCAAGCCCCGCCACTGGGGCTCCTGCAAAGTTGCTCTGCCCCCCCCCCCTTCAGCACTGCCACCACGTCCTGTGGAATGGAGGCCGCTAGAGAAGAAGCAGATATGCATCCTTTGGTCTCTCCTGCAGCAGCAGGTGTGCAGGATCAGTCCTCAAATGTCCGGTTCCTTAGCATTCCTGTGTAGGCTAAAAGTCCAAGCATGCACACTGTGAACATTATACCACTTGCATTTATTAAACAAGATTCAGAATTTATTTTTAAAAGTACCTTTAGAAAACTTTTATAAGGTGTGTATGGGTGTGGGGGGGGGTGTTTGTGCGTGGGAATGTAAAGTGCCATCAGGCCACAGCCCCACTTATGGCAACCCATAGGGTTTTCAAGACAAGAGATGTTCAGAGTTGTTTTGCATTGCAACTTCTTAGGTGGTCTCCCATCCAAATAATAACCACGACCACCCTTGCATAGTCTCTGAGATCTGCCAAGATCCAGTTAACCTGGGCTAATTAAAGAATGCTTGGCTGATAAGAACTGTGCAGTCAATTCATTAACCCTTTGAAATTTAAATTAAATTTCCTTTTATTAGAACCTCAGTTTGTATATCTTTTTAAGATAATGAAGTGTGATGATAATGGATAAATAACACTTTCAAATGTTTTAAAATAATTTTTTATGCTGATTGACTGGTCTTTATTTATTGCTGAAGTTTAGTGCGTGTGTGTCTTGATAACTTGCTTTACTCATTCTCTCTCACAGTATAAGACAGTTAACTACTTGGGAAGATTCGTGTGCTTTTTCACTCTCGCGGCTAGGTGGCGCTGCTGCTGCTCGCCAACAACGTTTGTCTACTTCGTAGCAAAAGAATAGCTCTTTCCCCGCTTTTAAAAGTAGGATTTAATTTGCAAAGGCCTGTTTACAAAGCCCCAAAGGCAAAGTAGTGTAACTCCCATCACCCTGTGCAGTCTAATGCACCTGGTAGAGGATTGTGGCTTCAGAATTCTGCGCGAAGACAGACTCCATCAGGGCTCCTTGCGAACTGTTGTGTTCCCCTAAGGTACCAAGTATTCTATATCTTCATTGCGGTAAATAAAGAATGTATGTCAAATATACCCTGAATAAAATTGATTTTAAGGCTAGTTTTATGGACCCTTATTGGAAAAACTCCATGAAACTCTCTTCCGGGTGAGCGTGCATAGGATTGCCCCGCACATGTGCAAAAATACGGGCGGCGAAATGAGATTGCCGGAGATGCAAATTGGATTTCTGTGTATAACAAAACCATCTCGAAATTCCGTTTTCAGAAATAAAACAGGAGGAAAATGTAGGCCACTCAGAATATCAAAATGCAAAAAAAGTGTGCATGACTTTTAAAAATCTATATATTTTTTTAAACCCACCTTTGCTCTTTGGGAAAGTTTCTTTGTAGTCTTGCTTATATTGGAGCACTAACAAGATCCCTCTATGGGAGCTAATTTTATAGGTGTCAGCCTTTTTTAACAACGGAGGGTGTTCTAACACTATAAAACCTTCCTTCCCTGTGCCAGGAGCATAATTAAGTAAATTCAGTTATGGAATGAACATGACTTTAAATGTTCTGTAGTCGTGGCCGAGTGGTTAAGGCGATGGACTAGAAATCCATTGGGGTCTCCCCGCGCAGGTTCGAATCCTGCCGACTACGAATATTTTAATTTTTGTTCTTTCAGCCATTTTTAGTTTGCAGCTTTCAAGCATTCTGTGCCTTTAACGACACCGTTCTTCTCTGGCACTGTTTATGTATTAACTGGCCTTTCAGCGCTGCCCGGGTCCGCCAGGGATGAGGGCAGAAAGAAAGGGGCGTGGTTAGCCGGTCATTGCCTGGCCTCATCCCCCCCCCCCCCGCCGTCTCCTTGGCAACGTGAGGCTGCGAAAGACGGGCTAAGATGGCGGACGATCTAGACGAGCTGTTGGACGAGGTGGAGAACAAGTTCTGCCGCCTAGCCAAGCCGGATTGCTCTGATGCAGTCCGAACTTCGGGAGAGACAAAAAACCGCCCGAGAGAGGAGAAAGAGGCGGCTAAAGCAGCCTCGTCCGGAGAGAGGGCCAGGTGAGCAATGCGCATGCTCGTTCTTTTCTCCTTCCACCCTTACAGTGACTGCAAAGAGATCACGGATTGCACGACACTTCCGGTACCCGCAGGTGAACATGAGGGGCGATGTTTGCAGTTTTATTTGTCTACTTCATTTATACCCCGCGTTTTTCCCCAGTGGGGACCCAAAGCGGGTAGGAAAACGGTATGCTAGACTCCGCTTTATGATGCTGCTGCAGCAAAAAATGGAGGTACTCGTTTTTTGAAAATCCAAAATGTATAGTACTTGACTATACTTGACTATAGGACGGGTTTAAAAATCATAAACGAGCAAGTTTTCAAGTTGATCAAAAACCTTTAAACGATCTGGGTGTTAAGCAAAACAAGGAAAGGAAAGGGGGCAAAGTATGCTGCTGAGCTTAGGGAAGAGCCCTGCTGTGTTTCTTTACGCATAAGGCAGCGTTCAAACAGAAACCAGAGCTGTATATAAGTCTCGTCTTTTTGTATTTCTGTGGATGCTTAATTCCCTCTCTTCCGTCGTCCGGCACACACCGGCCCCGTTGCTCCGGTTGCGGGCTTCGTCCCGGAATTACTGCACTGTGCCTAGCCCTCGCAGCTTGTACAGACGCCCCTCATTCACCTGCTTCAGGCACTCATGCGTACTTTCCCCTAACACTCCTCCATCTTCCGGCTTTTCCCACAAATTCCATCTCTCTCTATTTTTTTGGAACTGCAAGTGTGTGTGTGAGAGCGAGAGCATACCGTTGTACCTGATCTATTTATTAAGTGCATTTCTGCCTTGCTTTTCAGCAAAAAAATTAAGTTTCTATGACCCATCAAGTTAAAAGGTGTTCAAGGATACGTTAAACCCATGGATAGAGCAACACAGCTACACAAATGGAATCTTCCTCTTTATAAGCCTGCTTCTACAGAGACTTCCAGATGTTGTATTTTGCAGGTGTTCAGCACTGGGCGTTAGAGCACCTGTCAAAGACTGTGATGCAATGGTAGAGCATGGTGTTTGACATGCAGAAGGGCCCAGGTTCAGTCCCTGACATCTCCAATTAAAAGGATTGGGTCAGGTGATATGTAGAAGATCTCTAGCAGCCAGAGTGGACAGTACTAACCTTGGTAGACCAATAGGCTAGCCCACTGTATGGCTGCGGGCTTCCAGTCCAGTCTTTGTGCAGTCCAGATTTCCAGGGTGCCAACCAGTGTTCCCTCTAAGCTGAGTTAGTGTGAGCTAGCTCAAACTTTGATGCCAGTAGCTCACAAAGTAGAACTTTTGCTCACAAGACTCCACAGCTTAGAGGGAACATTGGTGCCAACTGCTGCAGGATCAGCATGGTCATCAGCACAGATACCACCAGGGAAGCTCTAAAATGGCACAATAGAATGAATCTCTGAGATGCACAGATACCACCAGGGAAGCTCTAAAACGGCACAATAGAATGAATCTCTGCTGCCTGTTATGCTCTCTGAACACTCTCCCTATGTTATCATTCTTCTACAGTCCCTGGGATTTATAAATTGGCTACCACTTGGCAGCACTTTACACGCACACAATGTGTAGCTATCTGTCATCACTAGTCCCTGGGGTCAATATAACACACTTTTTTAAAAAAGCCAAAGAAAAAACAACCCTTTGCATTCCCCATCACTAAGTGACATCTTTCTTTGCTGGGAGTTGGTATGTATATCAATGAACATCATAATCTTTGAACAGGAAACAGGTGTCTGTAAAGATAGGGGGTGCATAGTGGACATACACCAAGGAGTTTCAGTTGGTTGCAGATCCCCAGTGTGTGTCAATTTCCTGCCACAAGTCTCATCTTCAGATGTTATGGGTGTTCTCAGTAAACAAGTGGCAGGCAAGCTGCAAACTCATTTTGCCACAGAAAGTGCAAATTGATCAGTGCTCTCTAGCTTGTACAGTACTTCCTGTCCTCTTTTAGTCACTGGAATTTCTGCAGTCCAAAACTACCTTGTATCTTTGTAGGGTTTTGTCCCTGTGATTCCTGCAGGCTGTTCAACTCTAAAAGACAGCCCTCCATCCACTATCATTGCTGGGGTCATGGTATTCTTGTCTCACCCGTACAGTTCCCACCCCCACCCCCAATTTCTTTTCATTTCAGAAGTTGAACAATGGTGTTTCTTTTCAATTTTCTTGTAGAGTTTCCAAAATATCAACAAAACATAGCAATGAAGAAGAGGACTTGGATGAAATAATTAAAGATATAATCAATGAGAAGAACTTTGCCAAAAATCCTGTGGTAGGTAAAACTCTGAGAGCATGGTGGAGGGCATGAGAGGTCATTCAGAGCTATTAAAGACAAACAAAAAAATCCTGGTAAAGGAGGCTTGTGAGAGGGAAAAGTATTACGGATTTGAAAATTTAGGAATTCAAATTGATTGTGGCGCATTGAAATAATAATAATAGGTACTGGTAGTCTTGTTTGCCTTGAGACAATGCAGCAAATGGCGGTATTACAAACAGGTGGGTTCAACTTAGATAAGGCAGAGAAGCTTGTGCTGTGTTACTGGTGGATTTTGATTGCTTTGCAACAGACTTCATAAATGAATTTATAAATGTTTTAGCCAGGCCGGTTTATGCTCACATTTTCCTTCCTCCTGTATGTATTTATGTAGCATCAAAAGAGACAACTGAAATACAGGGGTAGTTCCAGAGTGAGAGATGTTTGAACATCCAGCACATTGATTCAGCACTCCTGACAATATAGAAACTGATTCTCTGCTGATTGCTGCTAGTGCAAACAGACCAGATCAAGCTGGATCAGTGCAAAATAGGGATCAAACAACAAAACCTGACACTTTCAATTTCATCTCTACTTCCAGACTAGCTAATTAGCCCTGGGAGGAGGAGAGGGGAGCACAACATTTCCTAGAACTATTCACTGCAGCCAGGAGCCCAAAGTTCAGATGCTTCTTTATGCATTGCAGTCACAGCTCTGCATATACACACAGTCCCTTGGTGCACATGATGCTGCCCCTTTATCGAAGTGGCCAGGTCAAGAGACCTCCATCTCCCTGCTGGATTGAACTGATTGCGTTCCTATTCTCATGAACCTAAGCTGCAGATGGCTGTTGAAACAGGAGAGTCTTGAGGCCTCCGTACAGTTGTTAATTGCCTGCCCTCTGCCTGCTTCTCACTGGAGTAGGTTTGCAGCCCTTGTTATTTAAAATCAACAAAAAGAATAGGTGCATGACAGTACCAATTGACATGATCAGTCCTCTCCTCTCCTCTCTTTCTTAGAAATGTATATCTAAATGTTCCACCCTCCCAGCTGAAACTAATATTACCTCCATTCATGCTCAAGGTAAGAGGTAAGTAAAGATCACACGCGTGAATAAATGCTCTGATGCATCATTTCAGTCTAACTATGCTTCCATATTAGCTGTGTTGCCCGTCAACTAAACAAAATAATCAACCTTTCAGGAAACTCAGTTTTATTACTGGGGTGCAGGATTTTGGAAACATGGAGTTACTGGTTTGTATGCAGACTAGCAGTTCCATGGGCGTGATGATTTCTATCAGCAGAGCACAGCTTTTCTTGACCCCCAGGAGCCCATAATACGTCCCCCCCCCCGAACCCTGTTTGTGGGATACAAGGGAATTGAGGAACAGGGTTGGGAAGGCATTTGGGAGAGAACAGACATTTATACTCTGCCTTTCTTCCTGGGGGGGAGCACCAAAGTAGCTTACATCATTCTCCTTCTGGTTTATTCCCACCATAACCCTGTGAGGTGGGTCAGGCTGAGTGTGTGTCATTGGCTTAAGACCACCTAGCATGCCTCCATGACAGAGCAGGGATTCAAACCTGGATCTCCCATATCCTAGTCCGACGCTCTAACCACTGCACCACACGCGCTCTCATAGCCAGTCATGCTCTGGTGGAAGTCCTTGCAGTTGCAGAAACGCTAGTCTGGATCCACTTCGTTGCGATACCATGATGAACTGTAACCTCCTTCATAGGCGTTGAGGATATATGTAGGTTGAAGGGACACCGTGAATACCTTCCAGAGCCCCTCAGAAGAAGGGCAGGATAAACAAACCTGTAATATATTGATAATAATGGATTATATTCTGCCAAGAGAGATTATCTTGACTGGTTCCCTTCCTAAGAGCAGCCTTCTGACTTATGTGGTTTGTGAGACACTCCACACACTCTTTTCCCACAACAGCTTCTTTTTTGGGGTACAAGAGGCTGCCGGGAGAAGGGGAAGCCAAGAACGATCCTCTTCTGCCATCGGAGTGGTGGTAGGATTCAACCCAATCTAAGGAAGAGATAGCGCCGGTTCTTGTTTTAACTGCATGTAATATTCTGTAGCTTTAGAAAAGTTATTAATAAATTTCAGAAATTAAAATGTTCTGGGTTGTTTTGTCACCTGTGTTAGTGGGTCAAAACACTGCGGATTCTTCATTTATATTTGCTCCCAAGGTGTAAGTTACACACATACTAGTACAGCAGTTGATTCTGAATTGCTGTGCCTTACAGTTCTTCTGAAAGTAATAGGTTTGTTGGAAAAGGGTGCATGCTCACTAGAATAAGCGAACCTGAGAAGTTAGCAATGCAGTCCTAACTGTCCTTACACCCATGTAAATCTCTTGATGTTAATGGGCTTAGAAAGTTGCGTTAATGATGGTAATGTTTGTGTTTTTATTTCATCTTCAATACAGCTCAAATTTTCCATTTTAATTCTTGTAGATGTTGCCCAGCATACCTTGGAGGAAGCACTGCACCATATGGTATCGGAACCAATATTTCACAGAAGTAAGTTTTGTTTGGTTGTTTTTTAATGCTGGCGATTGCATTATTAGAACTTCATGCTCTCAAACTATTCAGCTAAAGGTCACTTCCCACAAAGTACCATTCTCAGCAGAGTTATACCCATCCAAGCCTACTGAAGTCAAGGGGTTGGATCCAACCATCATTTTACTGGTGAAAAGGGCTATGATCACCAAAAAGGCTATGCTGGAGGTGGTACAACCTGCATGGACAAATCCGATGGGGGATGTAATAAGGAGAGGAATTGGGTGAGACTGAGTGAAATGACTCGCCAGATCCAGTCCAGTGGACTTAAAAGGGTGTGAATCCACTGGGGAGGCACTGACGGTCATTTCAGTCTGTGGCAGCCACAGCAAGAAAGTGATGTCGTAGCAAGGCAGCTGGGAAAAGTTCTCACCATCTTCAGCATTCAGCCCAGGTCTGACTTTTCACATTTCCCTGCAAATGCCCTGGGTGTAGCCTCATAGCAGATGTCCTTGTGCACTTTTGGTGATTTCGTGGCCTGACTATTCTATATAAAATATTTATATCCCAGCCTCTTATCTAAAAGTTCATAGGCAGCTGCTGTGGGCAAGGATAACTAGTGGAGGAACTCACTGATACATCAACAGAGAGGCCAGCTGAGGTCATAAATATGGGGACTAAAATGATGATTACCGGGGAATTGCACAACTTTAAGGTTGACAATGAAGAAATTGAAATTGTTCAGATTTTCTATTCCTTGGCTCCATCATCAACCAAAAAGCAAGGCTACAGGCATGGACGGCTTCAAAAGGGAATTAGATAAGCATATGGAGCAGAGGTCCATCAGTGGCTATTAGCCACAAGGTATAGATACGGGCTCTGGGGCAAGTGATGCTTCTTGGTGCTTGGGGGGGGGGGGTCAACAGTGGGATGGCTTCTAATGTCCTGGCCCCACTGGTGGACCTCCCGATGGCACCTGGTGTTTTTGGCCTCTGTGTGACAGAGTGTTGGACTGGATGGGCCTTTGGCCTGATCCAACATTGGTGTCTCTTGTGTTCTTATGTTCTTAAGGTGCACCCCAGAAATCAGAAGGAGATTGAAACAGGGAAGGGCAGGCATGAAGATCCTTAAGTGTAAGGATGTGTCATTGGCGACCAAGATCAAATTAATTCATGCCATAGCATTCCCCCTTACTATGTATGGTTGTGCAAGTTGGACAGTGAAGAAAGCTGACAGGAAGAAAGCAGATTCCTTTGAAATGTGGAGTCAGAGGAGAGTTTTATGGATACTCTGGACCACCAAGAAGACAAATAAGTGGGCTGTAGATCAGATCAAACCTGAACTCTCCCTAGAAGCTAAAATGGCTAAACAGAGACTATTGTACTTTGATCACATTGTGAGAAGACAAGATAGGACATTTTGGAGAATGTTAATTCATCAGGTCACCATAAGTCAGAAGTGACTTGATGGCACTTAATACACACACACTCACAATCTTGAATTGGCACATGGATCAATGAAGGCTCTAATTGAAGATCATTTTATTGAGTGGAGGCACGTTTTAATCAACAGGGCTGAAACTAAGAGCCTAATAGTTCATTCCGAAGGTCTTGTTATATGTTATTTAATATACTAGTAATACTAATAAGTGTAGTTTTTTCATATAATAGTATGAAAAAAAATAACGATGGCCTTTCCTTCCAACAGTGAGTGCTGGTTATTATTTCATTGTAATTTTTCTGATACTTTCTTTAGTAGCTCAAAAAAAAAGACTCCTCTATTAAATAATATGGGTAACATGCATATTTATTGATGTTTCATTTTGGTTTGCTTTGTTTTTGTACATCACATGCATGTGCACAAGCTGGCACCATTCTAGAAGACACATTTCCTTCAATGTGTGAGAAAAGAGGGGGGTGTCTCTTCCAAGACAGCACTTGCTCTCTTATGAAATAGTTCAAAGCTTTTAAAAGTCTCTTGGTCAGCTAATCAGGGGGAGATATTTATAGAGTTACATCCTTCTCAAGCTGTTTATTTCTGTGGATAGAGAAGGCTGTAATTCTGTTCAGGACTGCACTGAACAGTTTTCTAAGGAATAGTTCAGTGATTTTAATGTTTAATAATGTCACAATATTTCTAATGCATCCCTGGTTTGTATCCAATGAGAACCACAAGCAGGGATTGGAGAATGGGACTTTTCCTGCCTCCCCCTTCCACTATTGCCCACAAAAATGCTTCCCCGGGAGGTCAGGGCACCATGTAAGGAACTGGAGTGGGATGGGGGAATTGTTGCGAATAACTTCCCTCCCTCCCACCGCCAGTAGACGTGTCTATCTGTTTGGAACAAGCTGTTGTATTTTAGATGCATTTCCATAAAACCAATGACATTGGTCCCTTCTCCCTTTGCACAGAACTTGTGATCGACTACGTTGTACTGCATGTGACTTCCGTGTTTTACACTATGATGACTACCAGTGGGATAAATCATGTGATTATCTCTTTTTCAGGTATGCAATTGAGATTTATATTATCAGGAATCGTTGCTGTGTTCATAGTGTACTGGTAGGCACACTGAATGTTCCTTCTTTATGTGTTCTAATTTCAGAACTCACAGAGTAGGGAATGGGGCAGTAAGAATGGTGAGAATCTTTTAGTATGTATGTGTTTATTTTATTTAATCTCAGAGTTGGAAGGGACCACAAGGGTCATCTAGTCCAACCCCCTGCCAATGCAGGAATATAATATCCCTGACAAATATCCAGTCGATACTTAAAAACTTCCAACAACAAAGAATCCACCACCTCGCAAGGGAGACGATTCCATTGTCCAACATACCTTGCTATCAGGAAGTTCTTCCTCAAATTTAGATGAAACCTTCTTTGCTGTAGTTTATATGCATTAGTCTGACTCCTGTCATCCAGCATGACTGAAAACATGTCCACCCCATCCTCTGCATGGCATCCCTTTAGGTATTGGAAGATGGTAATGGTATCACCTTACGAGTGTCTGTTCTCCAGTGTAGTGATTCCTAGCTCCATCACCTTACCATCATAGGCCATGGTCTCCAAACCCCTCATCAGCTTCATTGGCCTACAATGTAGATTGGAAGAAGCCTGAAGCAGAAAGACCAAGATCAATGATAAGGCAGAATTGTGTTTGCTTTTTACGGGCTGTTTTCCCTGAATATCTGGAGACGATCCAGTAGGATCAAGGAGGAAGCTCTGTCTCAATATCATCCTGTCAGATCTTGGAAGCTAAGCAGGGTCGGCCTTGGCTAGTATTTGGAAGGGCAATCTCCCAGGAATACCAGGGTCGTGACACAGAGGCAGGCAGTGGCAAGCCACCTCTGAAATGTTTCTTGCCTTAAAAACAAGTCTAGCTCACCACCTGGTGGTGCAGAACACTAAAGAGCTAGAACTTGTGGCTGCCAGACAGTCTTAGGATACAATAATTCTGCATGTCATACGATAATTATTAATACTGATGCAAGGTGTTCATTTATCCTGCCAAGATCGTCTTCGGAGATCTTGTCTGAGTGTCCTCTAAGATTTGATAGGTCATGACTAAGGAAAGGGCCCTTTCTGCAGCTGCCTCCCTCTATGGAGCTCCTTCCTGAGGGAGACATATCTGGTGCCTTCTATGATATCCTTCAGGTGCCAGGCAAAGCCAGTCCTCTTCGCCTGATTTTTTCTGCGTAAATGTTCTTCTCCTCTTTTCCTGTCGCTGCCTGCCCTGTAGCTGTTGTGCTCCTCGAGTTCTAATTGTTTTAGCTGCTCTCAAGTTTATTTTACACTGGAGTTTTAAGGGGTTTCGAATAGGTTGTATTGTATTTTTGTATTGACAGATAGTAAGCCCTTGTGGATCCTGTATTGAGAGGAAGGTGGCATAGCATTTTTCCTCCAATCAATGAATACATTTTTCATAGAATCAGAACCGTTTTGTGAAATGCCAGAGTTTACTTTATCCTATGAATATGCATGGTATTTTAACTTCCCCAACCACCACCCTGCACAAAAAAATTAAAATGGATTGTTCTTGATTGATAGGAATAACATGCCTGAATTCAGCAAGCTGAGAACAAAGATGGTAAAGAAGAAAGGAACACGGTCCTATGCTTGCCAGTGCAGTTGGAGATCTATAGATGAACTAACGGACGTGAGTGCGGACCGAGAGCTCCGCTGGGTTTGTAGCAAACATGCCGAGTGACCTCATCCTGCCCGGTCAAACAGCCATTTCTGTACGAAGACCGGCTTCAGCATTCATGGGTGATAAAACAGGCCCGTGTTCTGCGCACAGAATGAATCTTGTTATTCCAAGTATAACCTGAGTACTTTGCCTGGTCTGCGGTTCCCTTGTGAGCTAAGCAAACTGGATGGGATGGTCATCCAGAATCACAGCAGCCTGCACCCTAGAGAACTGGACTATTTACAGGGTTGTTAGGAATCCTTAGGCTCCTCAGCTCCCTCCACTGTTATCAGTACGAGGGGGAATGAAGGTCTGTGGCCTAGAAAGCGTTTCAGAAATGAAGGATGCACGAAGTGAAACTGGACCAAACTATTCCTTTACCTAGAACACTCTTTTCTTCCCCCACAGTGATCTACTACTGTGTGCACCTGAAACACTAAATGTTTAGGCATTTGGTATATTCAAAAGAAGGCTCTGCTGACAATGGGAGAAGGTAATAAAGCCTTTCCAGAAGACACGTACTGAAATAAACAACATTTAGTAGCAGTATTAGCAGCAATGAAATTGTCTGGGATCTTGAAGCTTGCAGTTGAGCAAGAGCAACTATCAGTATTACTCCAGTCTTGCAAGGAAAATGTACAGCATCCTTCAGCCACACTCTTATGCAGTCAGTCAGTCAGTTGGCCTTTATCGGCATATAATACTGCCATAAACAATAATATACATAGAGAAGAGTAAAAAAGGGGGAATCATATTACAAAGTACATAATTTTATAAAATACATCATATTACAAAATATCATTGATTACTTCTGTGGTGTTTCCTGGCACTTATGCTCATGTATCTGGGGTAAACCTCAGTTAACACAGTGGTATTTACCTCTGAGTAAACACATGCATGGCATTGGGCTGCACCACTGTTTAGTGCTGCTTGACCCCATCTCTTGCAGAGGGGATCACAAGGATTCAAAGTTGTTGGGGGGGGGTTGCATCAAGCATACTTATTTGTGGAAGATGGGAAGGGGGCACATGACCGGAAGGGGAGCAGAGAGGCTGTGCTTTCCTTACCCATCTCTGCTCAACTTTTTAGCTAACCAGACAGTTATCGTCCAACAGTTGTTATTAATGGGCTCAAAATAAAATGATCATCATGCTCAATTTTTCTGTTTACACCTTTTTATCAAAGTACTAACAAAAATAAGGTACTCTTGACTTCTTTCACACGTACACACACACATACCTCTCTTCAGGTTCCAATTTAAAAAAACATGGACTGTGTTGTTACAGTTGTATTTAGATTTAGGGTTTTTTTCCTGAATGTAATCCTTGTTTATGAATTATATATAATTTTCTCATTCTGTATATGTAACACCCCATTATTTCTCAGTATTTTGTTTTTTGGTAGCACTGGAAGCTTAAGAAAATGTGTCATGGCTTTGTTTTTGTTGAACAAGTATAGAAGGTGAATAGCAAATGGGGTTTGGTTCCTTGGATTTCTTCTGCTAACAGGAGCACTTGCCTTGTACCAGAGGGAAAGTGGCAGCATTAGTGGAACAGTCAGTATGACTGAATCAACAGCAGACTAGGAAAACAACTGACAATTAATACCTGCATCATAACATAGTTACCTGAAAGTAAGTTCCATTTGATTTCATTTGCTTTTTGTGTCATCTGTTTAGAATCAGAGTGTAATTAGTCTGTGATAAGCATATTTCAGACACATGTCAAACTGAAATCTAAAAGTTGTATAGAATTAAAGTGTTCACTCTCTTGTGTTTCTCTGTAGTACTACTGTCATTAAAAGATATATTCTTGCTGTTGTGAATGAATGGGTTTTTTAAATTTAAAATATCTATACCATACTTTTCTCTGGCAGTGTAGGACTCAAAGGTTATCATCCTAAAGACACTTTCCTGGGAGTTAGCCTCACTGATTAACATGGGACTCACTTCTGAGTAGACCTGCTTAGGATTAATCCCAAAGGGGTTTACACAAAAATCACTTAGGCTAAAGCTACAGATGCAAGAAATACTAAAAGCAACCCCACTGATTTTTCCATAAACACATAACTGGCCTTTAATCAAAGACCATTAAAAGCACAAATATAACTCTGTAGAATTTCAGAACCTTTGAAGACAGAACACCTTAACGCACCCTCGGATAGTGATTGGAGCTCCCCTATTGGCTGGCCCATGTAGGCAGAGACAGTTCCTCAAATCTGAAGCAGTTGGGTTGGGAAGGGCTTTATAAGTTAATAGCATATCTCATTTATTTATATACTTAATTTAAATCCCACCTTTCTCCCTAATGGGGACCCAAAGCAACGGACTTCTTTTGCCCCTCCTCCTTTTCATCCTCACGAGAACACCGTGGGGTAGGTTAGGCTGAGAGTGTGTGACGGGCCCAAGAGCACTCCACGAGCTGCCGTGGCAAGGTAGGGATTAAAACCAAAGTCTTCGAGATCTTCGTCCAACACTCTGGCCTCTCTCCCACTTTGGCTTTTGAACTGCACAGGAAAGTATAGGCTCATACAAGCAGAGCAGACAGGGTCCCTCAGGATTATTTTTCATATATTTTGGCTGCCTGTTGTATGGAGTTTAACTGGCTCTGATCCTATTTTCATAAATGAAATCATAAATAGTGGTCTACTTTGGGATTACTGAGGTAATATCTGGGGGATATGGTAGCAGATCTCATGTCTTTTTTGGGGGGGCTTAATAACAAGTCACTGGAAAGCTCGATCTGGACTGAGGCCACAAGCGAGGAGGTTAACACTTCTCTCCTCCACTCTTGCTGACCCCACAGTCCTTTTTCCCCCCAGAGATGCTATTTGCCTAGAGAGGAGACATACAGCTGTCTTTATGTGTTGCCCCATGGCTGCTGGTATGTGAAGGAAAGCAGCATGGGGGAAGAGGTTAAATCCTCTCTTCCTCTTAAACTGTGGCTCAGATCCAGGGCAGCAGCTGGGAAATCCTTCATTTCAAACAATGCTCAGTTCTCAACTCAAGTGGTGAAAATCATTCTCCGACACCCCACCGTGCCACACACAAACACACTGCATTATGGGGTAATCATACTGGCCTACTTAGCAGGGATATTTATTAATTTAGTTGTATCTTCCCCCATGGCTCAAGGCAGCTCACAAGGTCCAATTTAAAACATACAAAAGTACAGTGAATCCCCAAAGATGAGGTATGTGAAGATGTTCTGAGATATGTGAAGCACTTGGAACACTTTAAGTGTGCTATATCAGTTCTGCATTATTAGTCTGGTGCAGCAGATTTCTAATGCTCTTTGTAATAGTCCCAGTTAATGAAAACTACAGGTTGTAAATGTGGACATAGTTGATTATTTGGGTCTGAGCCATCTGTTGGCAAAGCTGTTGACCAACATAATCTGTACGAAGGGCTTTGTCATTCTGTTCGAATCCTGGGAGGATCCCCCTCCCCCCCAGGTTCTGAAAGGGTAGGCCACTTACAGCTGATTTCCATGATTGCTGCACTGCACTGCGTGGTGATTGGTTACTCCCTCTCCCCATTTCTCACAGCAATCTGTCTATTTTAATTATTTGTTGGGGGGGGGCGGGGAACCTACGTTTAGGCTTGCAAACTTTCCACTGATTCTTCCAGCTTCCCATCATGGAGAAAAGAACATACAACCATAAGCAGCAGGGTCTTCTGAACTATGCCAAGGTAGTATGAGACAAAAATCTTTCTTGTTTCCAGTACTCATCGGCTTTTGGATTTAATCTGTGGTGGTTGAAATGGCATGGGGGGAAACAGTTCAATACATAGAAGGTCCCCTGTTCAACCCCTGAGGTTGCCAATTAAAGGATCGAAATGTAGCAAGTGTTGAGAAAGACACTCCCCCTCCCAAGAGCCCTGCTGTCTCACTACAACCTATACACAGCTGGATCGATCAATGGTCCTGCGGCACAAGACAGCTTCATATCTGCGGGTAAAAGTTCTTTTGAGCTCCCTTTGGAAGAGCACCTGTGGCTAAGTGTAATAGACCAATATATTCCACCTTTTCTGAGCTATACATTTTCAATGATGTATTTCAATCTGCTGTCCCAAATGAGTAGGAAGTGAAGATTCTTCATCGTCTCAATTTCAACTGGAGAGTTTAACATAAATATTTTAAAGTAAAATTGATGTTCCTGGCTCAAAACGACAGAGGGCAGGCTTGTACTTACGTAGGTTTGTTTCAGTGTTGTTCGCTGGATAAAACCTTTCCTTCTATACTTCATAAAAGGAGCTACGTAACTCAGAAAAAGCAGTCTCCTGGCTCTAGTCTGAGTAGTACAAGACTATTTTATGAAAGTCTGTCTCTTTCTCTGTATGCTACATAATAGATATATGTCAGATTATAGCTTTCCCCCCATATCTTTTATTGATCTCAGTTTTGTTTTTTGCCTTAAGATTGATCAGATCTTGGGTGTGGCTATGTTTTGTTTCCTTTCTGATAGAGATTAGGGGAGGACGGATTGTATCAGTCCCCAATAAGATTCTCTTGCTATTTTAATGTTTTACAGCATGTATATCCTTCTCAGTTAGCAAAACAACTACTTTGAAGTCTTCCCAGAATTAACCCTTCACAGCAACTACCCCCCCTTCTATATGTAATTGTTGATGAAATTCTGTTTCACTATATCTGAAGAAGTGTGCCTGTGCAGGAAAACTGATACCTTGAATCTTTGTTGGTCTTAAAGGACTCAAACTTTGTTCTACTGCTTCAGGCCAACACAGCTACTCACCCAGATCCATCTCAGCATCATCCACAGTGTCTTTAATCATGAGTTCCTCTCTTTATCCATGACCACAATGAAAAGGGAAGTGTAATTTAAACTAAAATGGTGAAGATCAAAGCTATGGCAGTAGTGGAGGTCCCACAGAGCAAAAATTACAGAGACTAGCTAATTACTGAGTATTAGACCAACTCAAGAAACAAGTTTTTGAGTTACACAGAACTCTTCAAACATGTTCAAAATGAGAATTAAAAAGTGACAGTGTTACACAGAGAGCAATGTTAGCTGAGTCTTCTGAGCAGCAGGACCGGACAGGAAGAAGGCTTCTGCCACTTGTTAAATTACAAGTTTGGGGGCCATGCTGGAATTATTAGGGGTATTTTTTTAAAGCAAGCTTAAGGCCAGTGACAGCCAGCAAAGGCATCTAACCAAGAATGTATGCTTGGCATCTTTCCCTTGCTAGCAGTGCTCACCCAACAGGGGCCTTGTAAGGCTGACAGTGGATAATGCAACCACAGGTTTCAGCACATTTCCTCAAATTTTGCAATGAGATGTTTACCCCAGTGTCAGAACAGGAAACCTGTCTGAAGTCAGGGCTGAAGCACATGTGGCTTCTGAAACCATATGTACCAAACCATAGCACCTGTTCCCCTCAATCCACGCTGCAGGGAAGGGAAAA